AGGGCTGGCATGTGTAGAGTGGGAGCAAGGTGGGAGAGGCATGATCAAGAGCAGTACTCCTGGGAGCAATCTAGAGGGACCCACAGAGATTTAGCAACACCCTATACAAAGTCTGAATACACACCCAAATCAGTGTGTTTCAGATGCCATGGAACTGGTGACCTAGTACAGTGAATTCAGGGAATTTCATTTGGGAATAAAAATGCTGGGTTTGTTCTTAGGAGGGGAAACACTACTGTGCTAAAGAGCCTAGATTTGTTGACCCTCTATCTCAACCATGATTATTTTCTCTTTAATTTAAGACAGACAGACAGTTAGCTGGTTTCCCTACATTTGGACTTCAGCTTCTCAGCTAGAATGCTTTAGTACCGAGTCTTCACTTTAGATCAGCACAATGCATTCTTGTCCTACTGAACTGGCTGGACTTGTAGATGCCAACTGGCTACCTATACCTGGCAGAAGTGGCTAAGAGGCACTTCTAGTTATCCAAAGAATTTTTTGGTAGCCTTTAAAGCTCTTCAATAATTAGGATTCTACTATATTCTAGGCTAGGAATAGATGTCACATTCGTCCCTGGATAAGTTGTGCCTGTGTTTGTCCTGGAACAAAAATATCCTGGGATTAGCATGTACACATATCATCCTTCTAATTAGGGTTTGGTGAGTAGCTGAGTGATGCTTTCATTACATTGATTCAAAGATGCAATCCCAGGATAAGTGTATAGATACACTTTGGAATATCCTAGGATAAACTGCTACTACTTCTTATTTGGGAAAGTGTTTTAGGATTTATCTCAGGACAGTGGACATGGATGGCTGTACACTTGCATTTTGTCCTAGGATAAATGTGACATCTGTTTGCAGCCCTGGTATAATGGCTCCAAACATTTTTATAACTGCACTGTAAACTAGATTGTGCCAAACCTTTACAAAACCAAAATAATACCAGTATGATATTTTTACTAAGGGAGTTCACACATTTCACATTCTTGTCACAGTTCTGGACAACTAGTTCAGACAAAATAAGAATCCAACTCTACTTTCTCCACAGACTCAAACTGAATCTTTTTGAAGGTCAAGAAGAAAAAAAACCTCAACAACCTAGTTACATCACTACAAATGTACAGGCTCTAATAATACCCCAAGTAAAAATGTAGGACTACTATGAACACAACATTTCCTGTGAGATTTCTGACTTTCCAACCCCCCACCAAAAAAAGCCCCCAACCTATAAACTTTGATATTATTAAACTATTAAGATTCTATAAAATGTAATAAGTCTCTGAAGAAATTAATCTAAACCTCACAGAAATCAATACCTGAAGTCAATATTTTTCCAGCTTCTTTGAAATATCTTACAGAATTCTAGAACAGGGAAATACATTTCTATTCATTCCAGAGACCAACCAAAAACTTATAGAAAAAAATGTCTTTTCTTAGATGTTTCGTTATAATCCTTTTAGACAGCCATAATCAGGGATTTCCAGTGTATTAGATTTAAATTTCAATTCACTGGGTGCATCTACATGTGAAGCTACATCGCCATAGCAATGAGCTACAGTGACGTAGCTCATCGCTATGGCAACGTAGCATTGGAATGCACAACTATGATGCCAATGCTAATGTCACCACAGCAATGAGCTATGTTGCCACAGCTCATCGCTATGGCGACATAGTGTCTAAAAATAACCATGGCACCAGGACTGCGCGGGGAACTGGAGGGTACTGCACAGTCATTTAGTACTTTCTAAAGCAAATACTAAATGACTGTGCAGTACCAAATGTGCAGTCAAGGGCATGTGTGGATATGCCCACAGTGAACTAACCAAGCTTCAGCCATTAACTTTCATCAGACTTCTCGTACTAAGTATTTTTTCCAGTTGTCAGGTTAAATGTTTTTTTGTGTGAGGAGTTCACCATTTATTCTATCAAGGAGTGAAGAATAACTCCTTTATGCCATCATTCTTTTCTACTTTCCCCTTGTTCTATGATATTTCAACTCTTTGGATGCAGCTACTTCTTCTGGGAAGCTAAAGTGACCTGCCACAAGTCCTATTAGTCCTTGAAAAATCTAATATAAGTGTGATGAGGAAAGTAACCATGATGCATTTTGTGCATCCTGCCTACTTGTCCCTTTCTTTTAACGTTCAACACATGGTTTTCATGTTTAGTACACCCAGACTTCCTGTATGGGAAGCATGCATTTGACCTGAGTGGTTTTGATTGCTGCAGCATACTCTGAATTTTTCCTTCTATTTCCATCATTTATGTCATGCTGGATTGTCCATCCTAGACAATGATGTCCTCTAACATCTACAGCAGCCTGGACAAAAACAAAACAAGCCTCCCTCCATGCCAACCTACAAGCTGCCCTAACAAACACTCCTCCTGGGATCAGGGACAGCTTAGTCTCCATGGTCATTCACACTTTGGCCTTAATACTGTGACTTCTGATGATGATGATTTTGGTGGTGTGGGTACCTATCCAGTGGGAACTTAGCTGAGATCATCACTCTAGGTCCACAGACCACCAAGCAGATGTAACCCTGCTTATGTTCTGCATGTTTGACTATAGTTGTGTTCTATAATGGTAACTGTGTGTATTCTTTACCCCCATACCCTCCTTTGTATGCATGTTGTGGGGCGGGGAGGCTACTTGCACCTATTTTCACTGTTTGTGGGCCTGGGTTCACTGTCCGGGGTTAAAGTGACAAGGACAGGTAGGTCAGATTTGTGTCCATCAGCCATCCCTTCTAAATCTATGAACTTTGTAGGCATACAGACGGTGTTAATGCAAAGTAATACAATGGTCACTGATGGGGCAACCCCCACTGAGCTGTGCAGAGGTCTGCAGTGGGGTGGCCCTCAGCCTTAGGGGAAAGTTGGTGTGTATGAGGAATAGGAGAGATTCCAGTCAGAAGGTGTTTCCCAGATGATCTTGTGGCTCATCAACTCAAAGAGAAGTACTTATAAGCATAACCCCCATGGTGGGTTAGAGAAAGTCTGATGCTTCCTATTGCTAAAAAGTGATGAATATCTCTGAACCTATCACTGAAGTCATCCCCTAAAAGAGCAAGGATTGCAGAGAAACCTAGAGGACTGGTAGAGGAACAGCTGTGACCGCTTGTGGTGCAGGGGATTGGTGGTAGCTCATGGAGGTGCCAGCCAGACCATTGCTTCCTAGCATTGCATCCTAGCATCGCTTACCAGCACCACTCCCCCACCCCGTTTTACTTTAAGATTTGCTTGCAAGTGGGGAAATCTGCTGCTGTTGGAACAGCCAGTAAAAATGCACTCTCTCAGTGCATTCTGGGTGGGGGCTGGAGTTCCATTTGAAAAGTTGGTGTAAAACCCCTAAATCTGAACCTAGCCCTTGTTACTGCTGTCCAGTGCCTGGCAGAAGGGGTACACAGATGTTAACAATTTCCAGCAACCATCAAACAGGGATGCATTTAGACTCACTGCTGACATTATGATGGAAACGATCCGTATTTCACTTCCCATTCTGAGCCTTTTTGACCAGCCCACCCAGATGTCTGCTATGAAGCATCTTTCTCCTAGCCATTTTGTTCTGCAGAACTCCTCAGTTGGGTGCTTTGTGATAGGAGGATTCACTACTTACAAAAAGCTACACAGACCTTTTTTATTATAAGGGTCACTTTGCAAATGTGCACATTGCTTTTCAGTGACTTTTCTCATTGGTCCTCCAGGTTTTTTGTCTCTATCAGTGGTACAATCAACAGCATCCACATAGCTACTGGATTCTCTTGGATGTGCATCCTATACATAATCATAGCTAAAATATAAACTAGGGTATTCCTGCTCCACAGGTAGTAAATCCATCAGGTTAGTCAAAACCAAGATGTCTCTTTGGATTAGGCTGCATTAGCTGTGAAAAGCTTGTCCAAATTGAAAGCCATTCTATTTATAAGTTACACAGCACTTTCCCCTTCCTGTGCTTCCACCAATAAAATTAAGATCTTTTATATATCCAGTGAACCACAGCACCACAACTTAGCAAATTAGCAAAGCCACCCAGCAGTACTAGATGCTGGACATCCTCTTTCCATTATATAGAAGTGAAAAAGCAAAACTACAAATCAGAGAGTTCCTTAGAATTGAGTCAGTTCACATTTGAGCCGACCTGCTTATGTGGTTTTTTCACATTAGATCCAAAATGTACTATCTATTCCAGTTCAGCTGCAAACAAAATTTTGCAAGGCTAACTGTCAGGGCAATCTGGCCCCAATTAGTGGACATTTCACAAGACCAAGTTTTCTGCTGTCTGGGGCTAAAATTGCTTGAAAACATCCCATCAAAATCTGGCAGAAGGCAGAGCAGGGTAGCACCTGAGAGACTAAGTCATTCAGAAAAGCACTAAGTTTTGATTTCACCTGAACCATAATCACCAGCCTTAGCTGATTCTGAATAACTCCTTAGCTCGTTCACTGCATCCAGTTAAGGTATTTCTGAACTGTCAGTCACTAGTATCTGGGTTCCAAATACAATGATTATGATTAAGGCTTCAATATGGACTAGATCTCAGTCACCATACTATTATCTGCTCTCCCCTGAGAATCCCTGCTGCCAGGGCAGCTTCCCGACCAGTACAGCATTTACAAATCCTCAGTTCCCTTGTGCTATTTCGGTTCTTGGACCATGCTTATCATCACAGCATCATTTGCAGGCAGAATGTGACCACATCGCTATAGATGACTATGTCAGATTGTGATTGTGGTTATGCACAATTCTGCCAACTTAGACAGGCCACACTACAGACAACTGGGGAGACTCTGTGGATGTTCATGAATAGGAACCATGCAGGGTAGGAGTCTGTCGCATAACACCCTACTCAATGGCTAGTCTGAGAAGTCAAGAATCAAGAAACTACATACCAAAACCCGGGGCCTGGTTCAGAGGTCCATAGAACCAGCAGAGCGCTTACTCCTGCATGCTCTCAGCTCCTCAGAGAACCAGACCACTCTCTAGAGATGACCTCACCTGAAAAATCCTTCTTTTTCCTTTGGATTTCTTGCATTTCAAGAGGGCCTTAATTGCACAAAACATCTCTTCTGATTTGCACACATACACTGCAAACCATTCAGCATCTCACCCTCCCTTCCTCCCTCTGTTCCTTGTCAGTATGTATCCTACCCTGCTTTGGCCAATCATGCAGGAGCTGATTTTAGCCTCAGCCTCATTAGCATGTGATATAAAAATAGAAGCACATTATCTTGCGTTGCTCTCACAGCTGATCTGTCAGCAGCAAGAAGGTAAAAGAATTAAGTATTTGTCTGGTAAAAGGAAACACAAAAAGAGGACGCATCTGAAGTCAGCCCTCTATGCATTTTATTTTTAAGCCAAACAACATGCAGCACAGAATGCTTTGTGGTGCAGTGGCTCCTATTCTAATTTTTCCCTCCATCTTCTCCCCCTGAATATAGCTATGAAAATGCCTGAATAACACTCCCCTCCTCCACAGAGAGTAAAAAAAACCCACATGCAATAAAGACCTTGATTCAAGCAAAACTGACAAAATGTCTCCACAGCAAAAAACAAACATCCAGCAAATCCACTTCAGAGCTTGCACTGAAAACCTCCAATTCTCTTGGCACTTCCAAAATCTCTCCTTGAGACAACAGAGCTGGATTAGTGGTGCGATATCTGCATGAACTGAGGTCAACACAGGAGATATTCAGAAACCATTTAATGAGTTGACTTGATCTTTCATCAAAATACTTTAGCTTTTCCTTCCTAACACATCACTGCCCACGATATGGCAGGCTAAGCCAATGTGACAAATTGTCAGAACCATTTTTTTTTTTTAAATGAAAAAAGTTAGACAAGACTTTAAAGATAGGACTGGCTTCTTGTGCCTGTTTCACACATGAAACACTTCAGAAAAAAAACAAGGAGCATGGAAAGTAACTTTCTGTGAAAAGCTACCTAAGAACTGATTAGCAGTAGTTAAGATGACCATCCTAGCAGCAGTATCAATCACATGGGTATCCAGTTATCTTTGAAGAAGCCAGCCATTAATAAAAGTGACTGCAAGAGGCACTAAACCACCATCTATTTGTCACTTTCCAAACAAAGCCCTGCCATGATAAGACGTTGCTCTCCAACTCTATATAATAACAACTGGGAGTTATTCAACGCTTGGTTGGCACTCACAACAATAAACAGCACCACAGAACCAAGATCACATCAAACACAATTGCCCATTGCTCCTCACTTTCAAAAGTCATACATCACAGTTTATTACCACTATGGTATTAGTCTAAATGACCTATTTACCAGTAGACAATAGAGGGCGTCAAATCCAAAGTGCTTTCATGTTCCTTGTTGGATGTTGAGATTGATATTGATGAGTTCCGTGATTTGGTTTAAAGGAAATGAGTTGACTTTAATGCTATTGGCAGTCTTTTGGGAAAAGTGCCAGGAGATTTTTATGGAGGTTTTTCAAACTGGCAATAAAATGCTGGGAGTAAGATTCAAAGAGTGAATCTATATACACTATATTTTCATATGCATGTAAGCAGTAGGGGTGTGTGAAGCAGGCCCTATTTGTTTCGGATTCAGATTCCTCCCGGATTGGGAACAGTGATTCGATTCGTTGATTCGGATTACTGTCCCCGATTCGATTCGGCTAAACCCAAATCTGAAGATTCGATGCTGATTTGACAATCAGCAATTCGGACACAGACACAGCTTTAAATGTTTTTTCTACATACCTCGAGGTACCAGCGTGACTCATGAATGCTGCGATGCTGGGGCGCACGGAGCGTCCCACAGGAATGCGAGGGGGGCCCCCATGTGCTCGGCAGTGAACCCAAAAGTGGACTGGAAGTAGTTCCCAGACCCAGGAGGCACCAGTCGCCAAGCCGTGGGGAGGATGCGGGGGGGGGGGGGGGGGCTCTGGCCCAGCCGAGGACGCCTCCTGTGGGACACTCCATGCGCCCCAGCATCACAACATTGATAAGCTGCCTGCTACCTAGAGGTATGTAGAAAAAACGTTTAACGCTGTGTCTATGTCTGAATCACTGAATCTTTCCAAATTGATTCAGAGGGTTCCAATTCGATTTGGAGAGATTAAAGGGTCCTCTGATTGGATTCGGATTTGGAGATTCGGCCATTGAATCGAGCCAAATCTCTACCAAATTGAATCAGCGACTGAACCTTTGCACAGCCCTAGTAAGCAGGCATGTCTGTATCTGTAAGAGAGAGAGAATGCATGTGTGGGACAGAAACACAGTGTGTTTATCCATATGTCCATGCTCACATCCACGCACATATGCACATCAGTATGTAGCTGGGATTTTGTGGGTGCACACTTGGGATTACTTGTCTGTTTGCAATTATAAGTGCAATTGTTCATGCATCCATTCAATAGCTCAGCATATATGCACATAAGATATACCCATTTTCATTTGGCTGCATATAAATGTCCAAATGTGTGTAGCTGATGCAGTGACTGTGGGCTTGTGTGGGCATGTGATACCGAGCTTGATAGCACTGATGTTTTCTTTGCATTTTACCAGATCAGATTTCACAAACACCATGTTCTCTAGGTTAGCTGTGTTATGAACCCACTCAGAAAAAACCTTGCAAATGCTGAGGGAATAGGCTGACACCTGGTTATTTGTTAGTACAAATTCCCACTCAAAAAAAGCTCAAACTTTTTCATTTCTGTCCAGACCTCACTTGCATCTCTAATAGTATTGAAAAAGAACTCTCCTTAAAATAGGATGAGTTATACATTATTAATTTCTCATCCCAATATTCAATGGCCAAGATGAGGGTAGGGAGCAAGGAGGGAAACTGCATCTGCACTAGCAATGATCATCCTAAAATTGGATTTATGAAAGAAAGAGAAAATGCCCAAAAGCTGAAGTTCTAGCATCCCAACAGCTATGCCTGAACCGGCAAAGAACCCAGCACAGTACTGCCAATGTCTTGGGTTCACTTCCAAATTCCTACACTCCTTTTTTTCAGTATTTCTCCCCATTAGGTCCATTTGGATTAGCACAAACCTGGGATTTTCAGCTTGCAGTTAGCAAGATGGCTGCTGCTAAAACAAATGGTAAGCAAGCCTGTCGTCTATTTAAAAGCCAATGAATGTGAAAGATGTGTAGTATATAAACAAAGATGTGATGGGAAAGACAGGCTGCCCCAGTGATAAATATAAAAAGGGACTTTTTAAAAAAAATAGCATTTATTGAGGCTGATAGACCCTGTAATTCCTCCTCTCTAATTTACAGGTTAACCAAATGCAACCTGGGCAAGGGGCAGTAGCAAACAGGTTAACAAGGGGTGGCTTAGTAAATGCAAGCATCCCACCTATTTACTTCTATTTACCTAGACTTACATACTCTGAAGAACCCCTACCAACAGCTGTAGGAACCAGACAACTAGAATAACAATCCACAGAGGCATAACCAATTAGCAGCACAGGAACATTACCTTAACAAGCTTGACATTTAAGACAGAGATACTCCTGTCCACCCCCTATACATTCAACTTCTCCGCAAAGATCACGCAAACAAATGGTTTTTGCAGAATGCCCTAAAGCTCAATAGATTTGAACTATTTCAGACCAAAGTAGGAAGCCAGTGCCAAGCAGTCCCCATTGAGAATGCCTTGCTGGCAAATCCCTTCCTTTTATATGGAACAGACTACAGTTTCAGCCCCCTCCCCCCACCCTCTCCCGAGTGACAGCAGCTACAGTCCCCTATCAGATGGGGAGACAGTATCTCATACAGCAAAGTATAAAGCCAGTTAGAGCGTGATGAGTTCACAATAACAATTTAACATCTCACACACAACTGGATTGGCAGCATGTAAATACCCTACTCATCAAGAGAAAAGGAAGAGAAGGATCAAACCCTCTGTTTTGTAACAACCTTAATCCCTGTTTGGTACATATGAAATCAGACTAGGCAAAATGCTAGCAGGGAGCATGGGCACAATCTTGCAATGGTAGGGAGATGAACTGGATGATCTAATCACCCACTAGCTTCAGTGATCCAATTATTTTCTAGGCAGATGCAAACTATTTTCAAAAGCCCCAGGACTGTATTTTATCTGAAGAACAAAAAAAATGGAATTTGTCAGAGGTGAAACAAACATAAATTGAAGAAAAAAAAACAGTAAGCATTTTAAGGTATATAAAGGTGGGGACAAATGCTCCTGTTAATAAGTAATAGTACAATTATACATGTATATGTGAAACTTCTGATGCCAAAGCTCACTGTATACTTTGCCATCGGAAATCATGTGTCTCACCACTCAGGTCAAACATAGGAATCACCTAAGGGCCCATAATAAAGAGGTGAGGCAGGAAAGGGTGGGGAAGCAAGGCAGACTACAGTAGCCAATTTTGGCTTGGATTTAAAAAGGAGCCTAATTGAGTCAGGCACCTCAATCCCATTTAAATTCAATGAGAGCTTGGCTGCTGACTCTTTTAAGCACCTCTGAAAATCAGTGCCATATGTTTTAAGGCAGTTACTAAGTGCAACATTTTGCCAAGACATTTTAAGTCATCATTTTACTCTTGCAAAAAGGTTTTTTTAATGATCATGACTTTATAGAAGACAGCCCTTCCTATGGCATCATGTCACCACACAAAAAAAAATCTTGCTCAGCTGACAACATCTGAGACCACCACTGAAGTTAGCCCCAACTAAGTCTGCCCAACAGTAATCCAACATTGCAAGCTGAGATACTTTAGGAGGAGGCTGTCTTCTTTCTATCACCACTAAACATACACAAATCTTATCAGCATCCACCGTGAGCAGATGTTAGGGAAAGAACTTCTCGGGAAAATGCCCGTGTTGACTTTTGTAGGACGTGTGTTTCTGAACAAGCTCGAAATCTAGAAGTTGCTCAGCGGTGTCTGCTCACTTGGAGGACAAAAACATTCAGTAAAGAACATCTTGTAAATGACTTTTTCCCCAGACAGAAGATTACAGATGCAGACTACACTCAGGGAGCAGGACAAGAATGAGGAACAAGGGAAGCCTGTCTCTTTGCATCCCTCACTGGGTACATCTCTCTTATAGCCTACAACAAAGACTGAGTTAAAGCTTGGCAAAGGTGAATGAGAAC